GACACTTTTAAATGCGTTCTTTTTAACAGCCAATCTTAAAACAATTTAGTTTTTTTGTACTTAATGCATAAATTCATTGCAACATTTAAAACTATTTGTAGTAATAGTTCATCTATAATAGTGGTTCATCTCTATTTAGTTGAAAAGTCTATTTAGTGGGGAAAATACAACTACAATACAATTAAATAGTGTAATAGAGGTGAAATATTACTCGTTTGCATCTAAATTTGGTTTTTGACACTAAATGGGGTGGAGGAAAAATGTGTATAGAATTCCAAATATAAAATCACTAAATATTGTTAAATGTATTCTTTGTAAGAGCCATATCGTCTAATTATCGTTATCGATAAAATCCCAGAAAATATCGGGATAAAATTTTTTGTCAATATCGCACACCCCTTAGTAACAAGTACACTGTAAAATAGTGATATCTTAAATTAACCTGCAGTAATGTTTTTTTTATTTTTTTTTTTGCATAATTCAGTAATGCATTTTTTTTTTTTTACCAGAACACAGGAACCAAAATTTAAGATTTAATTTATCCAAAAACCATAACCAAAAACAAAGTTTATTTAATAGTCTATTAGTCAAATTATTTAATAATCAACACCCTAATCACAATTTTTAATGTTTTTGATAGAAGTGTCTTATCAAGGCTGCATTACAAACAGTAATATTGTGAAATATTGTTACTATTTAAAATCACTATTTTCTATTGGAATATATTTTAAAATGTAATTTATTTCTGTGATGCAAAGCTGAATTTTCAGCAGCATTACTCCAGTCTTCAGTGTCACATGATACAAACATTTATGATAATTATCAATGTTGAAAACAGCTGTGCTACTTAATATTTGTGTGAAAACCATGATACACTATTTATTATTGGCGTTAGAGTAAAAAAAAAAAAAAGGTTAACACTTTTATTCAGCAAGGATGCATTAAATTGATCAAATGTGACGGTAAAGACATTTATAATGTTACAAAAGTTTTCTGTTTCAAATAAAAGTTGTTCTTTTGAGCTTTCTATTCATCAAAGAATCCTGAAAAAGTGTATCATGCTTTCCACAAAAATATGAAGCAGCACAACTGTTTTCAATTTAATTAATTATGAAATTAAGCACAAAATAAATGCTGAAACAAAGCGAGCCATTGGAGAAATGCTAATTAAATGCCACAGTGTCATTAAAAAAAATCATATATATATATTTTTTTTGGCTAAAACCGAAAATTATTTTTCTACTGAATTTTTGGTTGCTGAAATACCAGTGCATCACTAAATAAAATACCTTACGTTTTCATGCAACAATGTCTGATTTGATTGACAGTTGATCTCAATCACTTTTATCAATTTGTTTGAATCTACAAAACAGACCTGACTGATTCATTGTTGAATAAGACTGATCCGGTTCTCTAGTTCGAATCATTGACTACATTTACATCAACTCAAAATGCTTAAAATATGAACTATTTCACCAAGTATTGAACTTTAACCTGTGTTTTGCTTTCCTGTTTGAAGAAAAAGCAATCTGTTCCAGATCAGCCACTAGAAACACTTTTACATCAGTTGTGATAAACCCGATGGCCATCTTCATTGTTGTTCTTTTCTACATCAGACCGGCATGACCCTCAACGAGCGGTTCCGCATCCTGAAGGACCAGCGTGTGGCGGCAGCACAGCAGAGCAGCAAAGGAGGCCGATTCGTCACTGTGGCCTAGAGCTGAACTCTGAGACACTGGTCACGTGTCCCTCTGTCCCTGATCACACGCTCAACAACAGTCCTACAGGACAGAACAGGCAAACAGGGACCTGAGCTGAACTAACAATGTTCATGACTCAAATCGATTAGCCCTAATGGAGGAGACTTCCTCAGAACGTGGATATGCTGGTTTTCTGAAAGAGGAGACGTTAGGGAAGCGACTGATTTTCTGTTTTTTAGGTTCTTTTTCTAAAAAGCTGCCATTCTGTCCTCACAAAGCAAGCATTACCTGTTGTCCCTGAATTTCAGTTACGTTGTGTCGTCTCCTGACCGCCCTTGATATGTGATGGCGTCCTGTTTTTTATATATGCCTAAAGCAGTTGCAGCTAAATGAGTTGAAACATTTCTGGATAGACTTTGTTTTTCATGAAACGGTTGTATGAAACAGAACATTCTTTTTGTAGAGCAAAAAAGACGTTTTATAATATTTCAATTAAAAAACTACGTATTGTGCAACAAATGTCTAATTTTTGATACATCTTTTAGCGGCCAATATTTATAACAAATTTATATATATATATATATATA